TTATCGAATAGATCATGTATACTTCAAACTTTCATATTTATATAATATTATGGCATAAATGCAGAATACCGCAACCTCCAAAATTAAAAATTGGAGTATGGGGATCGAAGGATATAGTTAACGTGAGTATAAATATGTAAATTTTTTTCGGGGCAAACAACAAAAACGAAAGTTATTAAGGGTCAAAGTTCATATGAAGCATCACTTAAAATAAAAATTTCTTAAAAAACTATTGAACCGATTTCTAATTTTTTTTTTGCATTGGATAGGTAATTGAATTACCTTTCATTTGAGGTACCATTGCTTTGGGTGCAAAACCTCGTATGTGCAAAATTCGAAGCACTTTTTCAAATCAAAATTTTTTAAGAAGGACTTGGCATGGCGTCGGCTAGTGTTATTTTTTTGGGTTGACTTTATGAGAGTGCACCAGGCTTTGGAATATTTTTTTGTGTGTGTTGGACAGATGGGGTCACACAGATCACAGAATAGAAAACCCCAATGAGAGGCAACTTATATTTTAGGAGATATTGCATTTATAAATCCAAATTCTACTGGGGTTTTTATTTATTTTTTTTTATTTTAATGTAATTTATTTTATTATATTATATTTTCTTCCTTTTCATTTCATTTAAATAATTGATTTTTTTTTTCATTTTATTCTGTTTTATTTAGTTTTGTTTACTTTTGTTTCATTTTATTTTATTGTAGTTTATTTAAATTAATTTTATTTTCTATTTTTGTTTCATTTTACTTTTATTTTAAATTAAATTGAGTTGAATTAAATTTAATTTTATAATATCAGACAACCAAGAACTGAGTTATTATTAACAAAAATGTTGCAAAAAAAATGGTTAAGGTTTAGGTGCAACTTCATGTTATTTTATTGATTAATCTATCAAAATAAGGCGAAACGGAAAGTAAAGCTCTGGCCAAAGCTTTTCCTTTAATGCTCATGTTGCATAGAAATATTAAAGAATATATAAAGCAAAATTTATTTAATATTTAGATGTCGATTAATTTATGCGAAAACAAATCTCTTTCGCTATATTTGCATTTTATGCAAACTTGGAGTATAGCAAAGTCGAAATTAAACCTGTGGAATTTCCGTTTCGTTTTATTTCGAAGTTGTATAAAAGCTTACAGCCCAACCTAATATAAACGCACTCCGCCAGTTATCTGTCAAAAATGTCTCATGCAAATACAACTTGTATGGAAGCAACCGAAATTGAACGTACATCCTAAACATCTAACTCGATTTCCAATTTTTGTTCTGCGTGACATTTCGATTAGACGTTTGCACACAGGCAGAGATACAAACGCACGCTTATTTATTTCGGCTAGAAGCAAAAAAAGTCGCTCATGTCCGTGCGGTAAACGAACGCCGTGCGGTTTTATTAGGTTGGGCTGTAACATACTCTATGGCTACCACGTTTTTATTTTACATTTTTACTTACAGTAATGATAACTCACTTCACACTGCAAAAACTTCAAAAATCCAATTAATTAATCTTTCTTTTTCACTTCACACTTCATAAAGTTTATGATATAAACTGTATTATTTTAATTATTTGTTTGGAAATAGCACAAAATACGTCTATTTATTTGGGACACACAACTCTTTTTGCCTAATTGCATCAGGATGTATGCAAAACCAAATGTATTATAACGGTATAAACAAAAGAGAAAATTTGAGAGCGAAGAAACTAAGTAGTAGATTTGAAATATGTATGCAATGCATATAATATTGAGTTTTGCATTTAACAGTACCTACAAACAAAAGAGAAAATTTGAACGCAGAGAAGTTAAATAGTAGGTTTGCAATATGTATGTAGTGCATGTAATATTGAAACTGATACTCACACTCAAAAATTTAGAGTCTATATACATATGTACGTATGTACATACACCACTGTACACTCGATACATACTTTCTCAGTTTATAGACGAAGATCCCAGAGCCGCCAGACAGCACTTATTTTATAATGGATGAAACCACCGAGTTTTGAGGTGTCTGGCAGAAGTTTTTGCAATGGGATGAAGTCTAAAAATGCCTGATACTACTTGAGGGTAGTGTTCTACAAAAAATGGGGTAGTTAAAAACAGTAATTTTAAAGTTGAAATGCCATTTTAGACATAAAATGTATTTTGAGTTGACTATGACAGACATAAAATGATGTTTATCTTAGAATCATGTTTATATAGATAAAACTCTATTCTAATTTGACTATGACTACGGGCCATTATCTTATTTGAATGAAGCATCAAGCTGAGAGAAACAACGAAAGGCAATCGGCACAAATATGCATACAAACACAAATACATAATTGGAGCTACATAATCATTCTGTTCATACTCTTTTACTGCGAATATCAATTGCTCAAATATTCTTTAAGTTATTAGTAACATTTGTCACATATTCGCCGTTGTTTCTCATTTATTCTCAAAAATGTAATATTGAGTTTTGTATTATAACCATACAAACAAAAGAGAAAATTTGAACGCAGAGAAGTAGTAGGTTTAAAATATGTATGTAGGGCATGTAATATTGAAAGTGATACTCACACTCTACATACATTCATATGTACGTTAAGGTGGCTCACGAAAAAAAAGTTACAGTGTTTCCACCGGAATTTCAAAATTCACTCTTTTCTAAGGACTCTCCCAAAATATTTCGAAAAAATATTAAGAGTTAGTGGAGCTAAACCAAGTTAAAAAAACGCTAAAAATAAACGTTTTTATGTAGGTATAAAAGGTAAATCTTAATAATTTTTCGAAATATTTTCCGATGGAAAGAGGGTGTCCATTTTTTTTTTTTTGTATGGAGCGTGAGGCACCTTAATGTACGTACATACACCGCTGCACACTCGAAACTTACTTTCTGAGTTTACTCCCTCCTCTCATTTTATATATCTACTATTATCTAATTTGAATGAAGCATCAAAGTTCTAAATAGATAGTAGTTCAGCAATTCACACAAA